AGGGCCAGCGACTGGTTCATCTGATTAAGGAGCAACTATCTTAAGTTGATTACCGGGCTCTATTTTCTTGGCACGCGATCGAACGAAATTTTCCTTATTTGAATCGCGCAGATCTTGAAGTAAATCAATTAAGCTGTCATTTAGGATAGCATCTTGGGCATTTTCGTCATCACCTTGTATTTGCATATCTGGAATTATTTTCAGAACTTCTTGAGGATTGAAAGGATAGATACCTGTAGCCCTAAATTCAGATTTTAAATTATTGGACACATTTTCAGTGACTGCAATACACAATCGATTTAGGAGGATAGGAAAATATTTTTTTGAAATGGAGGAAGTTGATTTGGTTTCACTGCGCCATTTGTCTAGGATCTGACGCCACCTTTTTTAAACGGGGCAAACACTGCCACATCTAATGGTTGAATTAGGTGGGTGCTGTTGGGAGGCAACACTGTTATGTAGATATTGTTCTCCTCATAAGCTTCAATGACAGTGGGTGAAAAAGGAGTGGCTAAATTGTCCCCAACAATAATTTTTTCCAGGATGTTCAATTTGTTTAATTTTGGGCAATAAAATTTGTCAAAACCACTTTTTAAATTGGTCCATATCGAATAAGCCGCTAGGTGTATTACTATAGACTGTTCCAGGAGCACCACCTTTTGTCCAACCTTCGTACAGATTGCCTGCCTTGTACACCACCATAGGGGGTAATAAATCTCCTGCAGTGTTTCCACACACCATTATACTGATCAAGGCCTTGGAATGCTATTGAACTCTCTCCACGCGTTTGTTACCCTTGGAACATTAACTTTTTTTGGCTCCAGGGTCATCTTGACATTAGTTTCATCGTAATTGAACACCAAAGAGGGGTCAATATCTTGCAAAACATCTTTAATGTTCGACCCTACCGCCGCACGTGTTCGCTTTATGTTTGCAGCCAATCGGACACTCAGATTATTCCGGATTATGAAGTTTTCAAGAAAATCTTATCCACGAACATTGTCTTTAAACTCCTTAACGTTAAGCCCTTTTCTTTCTAAGTATTTGTGGATTAATTGGCGAATATCGGCTTTATTAAAAGGAAATCCCCAATTGCTCGCAGTCACTAATGTCTTCCGCAGGTGTAAATACCGTCGGATGACCTGGAGGGCGCGTATGCTCGCCCTTCAACTTATTTTGAACCGTTTACTGGCCGTTGCATGACTCATGCCATTTCTAATGGCAGTCAACGCTTTTTCAAAGTCAGCTTCGGTAAAGTTTCTGTAGGCACGCCTCCTACTTTTTTCTTATAATTTTTAGGCATGGTTAGTCACTTTATACCTGTAACAAAAGATAGCAACTAAAAAAAAAACCACAACAAAAATATATAATTTTTTTTACGTTTATATGACCAAACTGAAAAAGAAGGCTGAAGTGCCAAAGTAACCCCGTTTTACGGTACAGTAGGAATCATTGAATCAGTAAACAAAATAATTTAGTATTATGGGCATAGTTTTAAAACTATTTTCAGAAACATTTACTCAAATATTTAATTAATAAAACAAAATAATCCCAATCTTAAATGTGACCAAAACATAAAAAAAAAACGAAAATAAGAAATTATCTAAGCTATGTGTTACAAAATAAAACGAGCGATCGTTTCCCTTCGGAAAAAACTACTCCTTTGGCTAATTCCGCAACAGACATTGAATTATATCCAAATAAAAACAACAAAGATTTAATTTAGACATTTAAACTTTGATTTTTCTAAGTGGAACGTTATTATTGGACCGATTTCGTCCTTATTAGGATTCATCAGCAAGGAATAGACATTCTCGATTCCGGTCACTAAAGAAATCTGCAAAGGCGTTAAATTCATCCGCCTACACAAACGGAGGTTGTGAGAGAATAAGAAGTCGCTAAGCTTTGAATTTGCCAAGTGCAGAAGGCATTACGTTTTTACTTTGTGCAATGGTATTAGTACAGTAAATATATTAATGTCCTGTTATTAAACTTAAAACATTTTTATTATAATAGTAAACGGCACTAATGTTATTGTTAGTTAGAAAAAGCTATTTAATAAAAGTTAATGAAGATTAAAAAAATAAAAATTCAGTTTTTTAAATTTGCATTGGTGTTTGAAAAATATCATCTTTGTTAAGGTTTTTTTAATAATCCTGAAATGTGATTTCCCTCCAAGGTTAGAAACTCATAATTATGATTATTGATTTTCTAAACAAATTTTTATTTGAAACTAATTGAGAATGAAAATTTTTCAGCAATTAATTGATTATCTGTGATTAAAAATACTTTTTTAATTTAAAGAGGACACCCTGTATATTTTTGCAGATTTTAAAAGATCTAAACTTAGTATGTACGAATTCGGAATAACAAGATCTTTTAAAACCTGCAAAAATATATAGGGTGTCCCCTTTAAATTAAAAAAGTTGAAGGTATTTCCGATGAAATCGAAAGTACAGTAGTAACAAAAAATATAGCATTAGCAGATGCGTTATGCGTCATTGTACTTACCTGCAAAGTTTCATAATTATCGTCCTTTTCGTTTTAAAGATATTTACTTGGTTCCATACTGTATCCCAACCCTGTATGTATCACTCCGTTGCTTTTTGAGCTATCATTGGAATGAAAAATTGTTAGTTGTATCATTTTAATAGGGTTTTTGATTCTTTAAGTTCATAATTCACTAAAACTCAAACGAAGATTAAAAATACCGGCTAAGAAACATGATTTATTTGCCACGGTTTCCGTTTCTGTTCTCGTGCTTGCTGAAAATGACCCTGGTATTCTAATGAAATGAAAGAAGTGAATCAACTAAAATCCTTGACTTTAACTTCTAACAAACAAGAACAATGGTCAAGTAAAAATCTTATTTTAGTTCTTTGTAGATCTTGATATACAATTTCAACATATTATAATGGATCGTAAATAAAATAATAATAAAAAAGGTGTAGCTGTTGTTTGTTTCTTATTTTATATTTTTTAAATTTTTGCTTGATGAAGTCGTCAATCAAAAGTGAAGTATGTATAAAGGCGTAACAAAATACCAATATCTAACCTTGTAGTTAGTTAATAATTATTTAAAGAATGATCTTAAGAAATGTCCATAATCTTTGTGATTTTGTTTATTTAATTTTTTTAATAAAATAACTCAAATAAAACGGAACAGAAGTCGATTAATAAGGGGTATGTTTATAAGTATTTTTAACAGAAATTAAAGTGAATAAAAAATTATAATAGAAGATTACTAAATTAATTAAGGAATTAAACATGAATTTCGAAAATTTTTCAGTGTTTTGTATAATACACTAGTGGAAAAAATTAAGGAATCAAAAGAAAAATCTCGATTTTTTGCGATTTTTCGAGTGGCTGTATCTTTGGCGAAAATAGTCATACGTGAATAAAAAAAAAGCAATTTGAAGCCTAAAGTGTCTAGTTTATAGATCTTGCGATAAAAAAATTTTCCAACCATCAGTTAGCACAAAATCCTGATGAATATCATGGATAGAAAAAGGCGATCCTTTAATTTCTTCAAAAATTCACTCGCATAAAACAATGAAACGGATTAATAGATCAGGTCGACATTTTGTAGAGCTTTCGGGGGACCAATGGCATGTAAGATGCATACTTAACATTATTCATTTTCCCAATATTCTTAATGTGGCACGTGATTTTCTAAAAAACCTCAAAAAGACCTGTTTTCCGAAATTCTTTAAAGTCGTGCTAGGGATGAAAAAAATTTTTCTCGTGGAAGAACATGCCAGAACCTTGTAGAGAATGAATCGAAGTTTCCGAAACCCCCTTTCATTTTCTAAGCGGCCATTGGTTCCTGAGATATTGACGAGAAATTACGCATTTTCTTATATAGTGGTTATGTCAAGTCCGTACACTAAAAATTAAAAAAAAAAAAATTGTTTTCAAAAATTTTCTATCCATGATATTCATCAGTATTTTGTGCTAACTGTTGGTTGAAAAATTTTTTATCCCAAGATCCATAAACTTCAAGCTTCAAACTGCATTTTTTTTTTTTTTTTTTCATTTACATACGACCATTTTTACCAAAGATACAGCCACTCGAAAAATCGCAAAAATCGAGATTTTTTTTGATCCCTTAATATTTTCCTCTAGTGTAATAACAAAAATAATTAAGAAATATCTTGTAATGTTGAATATTCAAGAAAAAGTTTAGTCAAACACTAAATATCTCTTTCTGTTAGGAAGTAAAAAATGCATATCAAAATTTAAAAACATACAAAAAACAATAACTACATATTAATGAAGTACTGGGTAACAAAAATCTACAAGAGATAGAAATAATCGAAAAAAAAAACAGTAAAACTTCCCCTAATAATAACAAGCAACATCATTACGTATAAAGAATTAGCTCAAAATAATTTCCTTTTAAGCCACAGCTTTAAACAATAACCAATTTAAAATTAATACTAAACAAGAAGAAGACATAAATTGGCATTCCTATGATATTAAACAGAACAGAGACATTGAAGTAATGGTTAGAGGTCTACCATCTACATCTTAACCTGAAGATAATGTTGAAGACTTGCAAAAGTCAAGGAATAAAACGTAAAAAGGTTGTCAATATAATAAAAAAGGTAACAGAATTAACCGAGGATAACACTCATAAACTAAACAAACAATAATTGCCGCCATTCTTGCTGTACTTCGAAAATATTGAAGATATGACGAAATCAATACTTAATCTAAGAGTTAGAATCGAAACCATAAGAAAGTCAAAATTAGTTCCGCAATGCAAAAACTGCCAGCTATTGGGACATACAATTTTTGCAATTATATTATATTACGAAGTTAAATACATAAAATTAAAAAAAAATATAAAGAATTGTCCACAAAAAATGTTTCTAAAGTAGAATTATAAACTCCAACATGCGCAAATTTTTCCAAGATTTCATACAATTTTAAAACACTTGCCGTTTTTTAGAACTGATCTTGATCAATAAATTTTAACATTTTTTCTTTCTTTGCAGAGACCTACACCTAGTAGGCGGCGCCTCCTATCTAGCCGACGCCATGGTCGGAGCTGCCGATGCTTCACGAAGAGTAGTCTTCGTAGTTTCGCCTCTTCTCATCCACAACGAATGGTCTCGGCCAGAGTTTCGGGCCGCTCTCCAAGCAGCTCTACGAACAGCATATCGCAACAAGCTGATCTGTATCCTACGCGGCGATCCTTTGGAGCCCATGGATCCTGAGTTGAGAGCCTTACTAAGAGCCTGCACAGTTACCAGGTGGGGCGAGAGGAGGTTCTGGGAGAAACTGAGATATGCAATGCCCGATGTGGTGCATAACTCAACCGCTAGGAGGAATAAGAAGCCTCCTGAGATTAGATGTAAACCTCCAACTAGATACACTCCGGCACCCACAGCTCACGACTCCTGGTGCAAATACCAACCCATGCCAGGAGTGCACGCCGTAGCTTTGACTCCGACGCCTACTCAGAGTACTTACGTGTCAGGAGAAAGTGCTAGGAGTACGGAAGACGAGGCGGGATCGAGTTCCAGTAGTCAGCATTATGGTTCTGAACAGTTGAATCATAGTTACGTGTCTATAGACGGTCGACCGCCAGTTTATAGCCAGTTTCCTCCATGCAGAAGCGAAATACCCCATCACGTGTATTCGACTATACCGGATGCGCCCCCTCAATCTAGGACTTATTTTGTTTAATTGCGGAGTGTGAGGGGGGAGTTAGGTAATAATTCAAGTATGGAGCGCAGTTGTGAAGTGGGATTAAAAGTGTTTTAAATGATAATTTAAAAAAACCAAAGTAATATACTAATTGAAAATTTATTCAAAAACGAAACTATTTTCTGAAATAAAATTACAATAGTATTTAATATATTTTTACCCCTCATTATAACTGGCTCTCAATTTAATAAGGCTGTTTTTACTTACTCTATTGCGTGAATTTTTATCTCATAAATTTATAGCATTTTCGAATGTTCTAGATATCGATTACTATGTAATATAGTAAATTATTATGTATATTTTGTAAATATTTTCACAAAATTATATTTATTTGTAACGTACGAATAATAGTACTAATTTTATGTTGTAAGAAAAATATTGCAAAAATATAATGGAATCGATACAAAATATTAATAAAATTAATAAATATATTATATAATGTATTAGGAAAGTAAATTACAAAACAAAAATTTATTTTTTGCTATTGATATACTTTCATATATTATATTTTAAATAGAAAAAAAAAATAAATAAATTATTAAAATATATAAAATAGGAATATTCAAGCCCAATCAAGACATTATGTCACATGATAGATATCAAAACTCTTTTATATCGAAAGCTCTTCCTAATTCGAAAAAAATTGGTATTATTTTCTTTTATGTTTTCTCACAGATGTCATTTTAAAAACTTTTTTTAAGAACGTAAAAATATAATTTATTTACTTATGAATCACATTTTATATAGTTAAAATAACAACCATTTCAAAATTACAGTTTTAAACAAAAAATATTAGAAATAAAATGTAGGGGGGACCGGGGCTAGTTGGCCCACTTTTTAAACTTTAATTTTTAAAAAATATATTATTTTAAATTACTTAACAAGCAAAACGTATGACGGTTGCCTTAACCTTTGCCTACTCTAAAATGTATCAAATTAAGGTGTAACTTAAGTAGTTTCAAAATAATAAATTTTTTAATGTGTTAATGTGAAGTGGGTCAACTAGCCCCAGGTTCGGGGTAAGTTGGTCATACAGTTGGGGTAGTTTGGCACATGAGAATTGCACATATTTGCATTTCAAAAAACAAAATAATTTATTCGCAAATATAAAATAAAATATCCCTAGCGGTACAAACTTCATGGCCCAGTTCTTGCAACGAGTACATTGAACCCATTTTCTCCTTTGCGACTATGCCTATATAATTCTAGGCATACTAGGCAAAAACTATCGTCTTCTTCATCATCAGACAATTTATCAGGTAACTTTGATTTCTTCGATTGATATTTCTCAGGTACCTTTAAATTTTTTGATTGATGTTTTTGTTTTTTTTTTGTAAATAGATCTCTTGTGGCGGCTTTAACTTTAGAATTGATTTCTGGCTTTTTTTGACAGTGCAAACTTTTTTTTGTCCTTTACTTGCTGTTTTTCCTTTTCAAGCTCCTCTTTAACTGGGGTATCTGTCAAAATAGCCGTTGTTCTACGTTTTTTGCCTTTCTTGGTCTCTTTAACTCGTGCTTCAGCTTTAGGAAAGGATCGTATTTCTTCTAGAGACAACAAATCTGCATTTGGTTTTGATGTTCCAGCTTCCAATAAATCCTTCCCAGAAATAAAGTGGGGTTTTTTAGATTGCACATTATTATTGTTGTTGCTGTTAATATTTGCCTCGCCAAGAGGAGCTGGTTCAACAATGCTATCAGAAATAAAAGTAATTTGTTGCTTAGATTCTAAGTCATTATTTTGGAGGGTATTATTAATTACATTTTTATCACTGTTTACGTGATCACTATTTTTTGCTTGTATAGGTCTATCGGTTAAATATCCTGGTAGAAAATCACCATCTGTAAAAATATTGCTATTAAACGGAGATGTTCCAGATACGTTAAAGCCAGACTGTATGTTTTTTGGAGTACAGGCTAAAGGTGGAGATTCCTAATTGATGAACATTATAAATATTCATAGTTTTGCCGGAATTATTAGTTATCCAGGCATCTGCAGCTGTATTAAAATACTTTTTAAAAGGACCATAAACGCTCCGGTCCAATGGCTGTAACTTGTGGCTACAGTGCGGCGGAAATTATAAAACTGCAACCCCATTTTCTTTAAACATATCCAGAGCGGCAATGGAAAGATGCGAATCATGATTATCCAAAAGCAAAAGCACCGGTTTGTCTTTGGAAGCCCGAGAATATTTAACAAAATGTTTAGCAAACTTTATAAAATTTGCCTCAATCATCCATTCAGAAGGATTGCAGTCACCATCACTACCTGTTGGAACATTTTGTATAAAATGATCTCAAAAGTGTGCCCGCGGGAATAAAAAAAAAAGGTGGAATGCTATTGCCTGCAGCGGAAACAGCAACGGCCATTGTGACTAGAGCTGCTCTTTCAGTTGACGTTATACGTCCAATTTGCTTGAAACTTCGACGAACTATTACCCTGTTAGGTTTCTGAACGGTAGTTACACCAGTTTCGTCCATGTTATATATATCAAATGGACGAAATTGGTGTTTATTTAAAACTTTTTCCTAATTATCAAAAAATTTTGAAACATTTGTTGGATTAAAACTTGAGGCTCTGACGTAGCTGGTAGCCTAGGGTGTAGATAGGGAACAATTCCTCTTCAAAAATGCTGTTAGCCAATCTTCTCCCGCCATTTCTTTGTCTAACTAAGTTTGTGGCAAACCGTAATATATGTCTGCTGCCTTCTTCAAATAGTTACTTAAAATCTCTTCTTTTTGCCGAGGATATACCTGTAACCAAAGAATTACTTTTGTAGGTGTTAGGTTAGGTTACAATTACTGGTTCCAAAAATAGCAGAATTTTTTCACCTACCAATACTTAGCATATCCAACTTCAACTTCATAAGTTGCTCCACCTTGTAAGTTTCCATTATTTTGATTTTCTTTAGGGATTTCCCTCTGTCTAAACTTGATTACGTATCTTCCTAGAGTCTTTCTAGGAATCTGGAAATCAAGAGCCGTTTTTCTCACTGATTGGTTGCCATTTATAACAGCATCCACCGCTTGTACCATGACATCTTTAGGTGTTTTGCCTCTTTCCGTTTTTCTTTTATAGGAGCGCATACTTTAACTATCTAAAGATAAGAAATAAAAGATGTCTGTTAGGAATATGAATAAACGCAACACTGTCTTTTTACGTGCCGGGGTAAGTTGGCCATATGGACAATTTGCCTCGATTTGCCTGGGTCAACCTGCCCCAGTTAAGATCACAACAAATATGGCTTTCCGGTCAATAACAGTGGGAATTAAATCCGGTGGGCTAACTTACCCCTATGGCCAACTAGCCCCGGTCTCCCCTATCAATTAGAAGTTATATTTGGTGAACATATTTAATGCATTATTCAATTTAATATCATATTTTTGTAATATTTTTCTAACAACTTTAATTACTAATAAACGCTTAATAGTCACTATTTTTAAGAACTTTGTATATACCTGTATCTTTAAGCCTTAAATACTAGTCTCAACTCAAATTTGACTACTAAAAATATTTTCAACTCCAAAAACGAACGTAATCTTTTATAATAATTTTGCAGTAATATTTTTAGTGCATTATTTTTAAAAATTCAAGATTTTGTAACGGTCAGATTTAGCAGGTTTTCATCGGTTATTGGGTAGATTTAAATAAATCCAGAGTTACTTATAGATGGATTAATTAAATTTATTTCCAATGAATGCACTTAATTTTCTATTAACTTTAATTAACAATAATTGATTTCATTTAAGTTAATTTGGTTTAATTTTAATTGGATAATATAGGGTAGGGTAAAAGTTGAGAATATTATTTCGGGCTACCAATTTATTGATATTTAAGTAAAGACTGTTAAATATGTGAAATATTCCTTAATTTATGATAAATAAAATGGAATTTTTTAATAAACGTGGGATTTTTATTAACACCTACCATAATGTTCGACAAGCATTTAGATCATAATCTGGTGTCAAATTTATATTTTTTATTGGTATAATTAGCGACCAATTAGGAAAAATGAATATATTTGTGATTTTTTTTATTTAAAAGTAGAATTTATTTTAAAATTACGTCAATAGTTTTCATTAATAAAACGTCTACAGCTACAGAAATTTTGACAGGAAGATGAAAATTTAAAAAATCGCGTGAAATTATTATTTAACATAAAGATTCTAAAAACTGCGGGTTACTTCATTTTTAGGTTTTAAAGCTATGGGTTTTTTCAAATGGTATTTTTACTTTTTACTGTTTCACTAGTTTAAACAATATTATAACTTTTAATAAATCTGAAAATTTTTAGTTTGTTGTAAATAATCCTTGCATGTTACACCCAGAAAATAGACTTTAATCAATGAAAGGTAAGTGAAAATACTTTAAATTTTATAGATATCTGATAAGGACGACTACCAAAGATTGATTGAAAGGAGCCCACCGAAACCCCTCTGGGGAGCAGCGGGATGCCTGGAAGGGCCAAAAAATAATATATTCAGTTTAATTTGTTTTAAATGAATATGTCACTCACATACGATCTTAACTGTGAAACATTTTTGAATTAGGTGTTTAAGTCATTTCAAATAAAGTGCCGCACGATTCTTCTTGCTATTTTAAAAAATTGTGGGGGTGACTGTCGTGTGGAATGAGTTTGTTTCGAATTTTGGAAGTGTTTAACCCGCATGTTATTGTAAACAAATATTATGCATAAATTGTCTATAAAAAAATATTCTTATAAAACAATAAGACAAAGAAATTGAATATAAAAACACAAAGCATACGAAAGCGTACAAAAGCACGTAAATCAATGATAATGCAAACCAATCTATCAAAAAACAATCAAAAATGTTAAGGTGATTACAGCACCCCCTTATAATTTTGAGACAAGGATATCTCAAAAAGTAATTTTTTTAAAAAATTAAAATTTTGGCAATATATATTAGGCAATAATATCTAAAATATGCATATATTTTAAAATTTTAATTTCTTCCAGTTTCCGAGAAAAAAAATCAAAGGGCTTTAAATTTTGAAATATCATAATGAAAATAAATGCACTCCTCAACAGCACTATTCTTAATATAATTTCCAAATTTAAGCTCTTAATCTCTTGTTAATGATTTTTTAAAATTCGCCGAAATTAGTGGCTAAAACGCCTCGTTAAGTGCTTCTTTCTAGTGTAACGCGTCTGTAACTATTGTTTCGTACACTCTGAGTCATCATTCGTTTCTTGCAACGATTTACACCAGTTTACACCAGTTTAAACCAGAAAATAGCACTTAACGAGGCGTTTTAGCCACTAATTTCGGCGAATTTTAAAAAATCATTAACAAGAGATTAAGAGCTTAAATTTA